GCTGTTTTGGCACTAGCAAACGATTATCTGCTGCTACGAAACGAGAAATCGCTTTTTCAGTTGCTGTTCGTGACGACTCAGCGGCTGTAATTGCTTCGACATGAAAAGTTACTGAAATTTGACCCATTTAGCTGGCATTAAACCGCGAACCTCTGCCAGTTACCGTTAAACTGTCAAACAAATGCCGGGAGGACTTCTGACATTTGTGACTCGTTTGCCACCGAATGTTAGGTCAGCAGTGAAAGTGCAAAGAACTTATATTCATTATGGAGAGTAATGAGAATCGATGTAACCACTTTCTCGAACTACTACTTGTTCAGAATGAATTCACTTTTCGGACCCCTTTCCTACTTTCAAGGTACATAAATGAGTACCATATCACTCTGTTAAAAGAAAATAAGAGACTAAACGCTACTCTTGCCATTACCACAGTCGTAGAATCTGCCTTTAAAATAAGGGTAGCGGCTGATTGCATAGAAACAGAGATCAGCGCCACAACAAAAACTTCGTAAAAAATCGGAGCTACAAACGACCTCATGATGAAATCGTAAGGAAGACGGATGCCTCAAAGTTCTCAAACTTTTTTCCTGTGCTAACAGCACCGCTAGTCTCCTAAGCGACTAAACTTTGAATGATGGATTGTTGATGAGTTTTATCTGAACGGCTTTCAAAAACGGTTCATCCGTGCGAATCAATTCGTTGATACCAACCTCGTTACGTCGTGAAACAAAACGAGAAGGCTGAAGGCGAACTTGACAAAAAAAGATTAAAACTTTGTGTGAAAATAATCTGCCACGCAATGAAAGAAACTAGAGATTGATGCTTCGATTGCCGGATTGATTTTTATTGTAGATATCAATAAAATCGAAATCAGAACATTTTCAGATTTACATGAGCGATAAAAAATTTAACACGGCCTGATTTACGACTTCCACATGAAAATTTCATCATAAATATTTACAAAGGATACCAAATTAATTAAAATATTCAGCTGGCTTTTTATATACTTTAGCAGACGGTCTATACTTTGATGTTCTGTAAAAGAAACAGGAGTTTTGACAATTGAGCTTTTGGTTCCTGCTTTGGCAGTCATGCTGAAAACGTCATAAGCAATGTGGCCAGTCAGATGACTGAGGAATACCCGCGTTTCATTAAGTAACTCTGACAAAAATAATTCGCTAAGTTCGGTTTTCATATCATAATGTAACTATGGGAAATATTACATAGACAGAAGTGGGAACTATTCGCACTGGAGAAGATGAATGATCATAAACGACATATGGTAGCGAAACACAAGAAAAGAAAACAGCCTCACCCCCCCCACATGCCAATGAACATCTCGAAAAGATCTCTGGGATTCTGCAGCTCGCGGCACAGTTTATACAACCCTCATTATTAGAGTGCATCAGAAGAGAGACACTGGATGAATAAGAGCGTCAAGGTGTTAATCACCGAATTCTGCGAAAACATCAACCCTAACAAAGGATACGAACTCTGCACCGACTGAATGAGCCTTGCCACCCCTGTGGTCAAATTTACTTAACCTGCAACACTGACCGCAACCTCGTATTCTATCTCCGAACGTACGAACTGCTGCAGACGACAAAAACGACTTTTGAAATTCATCCACATCTCTACCTTAAAAAAGACTCATGGCACTGGTCGAAACGTCGGTATACTGGTCATCATCCGAATGACCAAATCATTTGCGCTTGTTATAAGTCATACGTGTTTATATCGTTTTAAAGAACAACTGTGATTTCTGAACCACCGCTGGTAACGAATAAAGCACTTCTCTAATAAAATGGTGCAAGATGCATATGGCGGGAAATGGACAAGTTTGTAAGTAGCTCAAAACTTTCGGCCAGCTTAAGTGCTAAATAGGCAAAGCATAAACAGTGTCAAATTGCAATCTTCAGCAACACTTGAATTTTTTGATTCATGAATTCAGTGTAGTTGCGATAAAAATGCAAAAGCAAACAGAATTGAATGCCTTAATTCTGATCAACGGACACGTTTCTTTACTGGCAACCGGTAATATATTGAGAAAACGGATAATAATAAGTCTGATAAAACGAAATGGTTTAATTTCAAATAGTGGATAATCTGAAAACGTGCCAAAGGTTGTACTCTTGTTTCTCGTCACCCACCTCGCGCATCACACTCCTGATTATGCCTCAATTACGAATTTATCAAAAGACAGACCGAACATTCAGTACAATCCGCTTCCTAACGGTAAAGATGTGAATGCGGTCAGTTAACACACCTAGGCAAGTATTTCAATCATTTATTATAACACAGGAGTCGCATCGATCAACGAATGTGCTACGAAAACTGAAGGCTGCGCGATGCCAAAAGCGTTCTGCATGCAACAGTCATGTACTTGCCAAGGTTTACCTTCAAGTGGATACCGGCTTTGCCCATACATATTATCGCAATCGCTACTCTTAATACGTACGTAGGTATTATCACAAAATGTTCCACTGCGAACAGTATATAATGTACAGACTAATGGTGAGCAATACGAAACATCACAACTGAAATCAGACTACCAATCGTCAAAAAGAACGAATAAAACCTTTTTAGTATGACGAAGAGTTAACGTGCAGATCCAACGATACAGAGTCGTTTAGTATTCCAGTTTCGGTCAACTTATGAAATAATAACACGAACACTTGCAGCTGTTGTTCGGGCTTCATGAATAGTATCTGTTGTACGATGCCGTTTGGCTCTGGTTCTCTAAAAACAAAACCGATATATTACTTCATAAGGCTTTGATTATTTTAATGTGCCTCACTGGAAAGATAACAATTAGTCAAGAAGGATAACAGTGAATATCACTAAGAAAATCAGTCTTCCTTATTTGGTGACTGGATGGACGAAAGCACGTATAAACCGATCAAGTCAGCAAGCATGGACGTTGTTCATTATTGGAGTCATAGGTAACGGAGACAAAATATGCTGCACTAGTAATTTAATGATATAGCTACGCAAGCAAGTTTAAACAGAGTGATACTATACGGGAGATTTCAACGAACATACTGCATAAAGTCCAATCGAACGTAAGGAACGAAGAAGAACTCCATGGGAAAGAATAACGCTAATCACGTCTGTGCACTAATTAATTTCCTTCCCTTTTATAGCTCGTGATTTATTTCAGCTTGCTGAACCAGAAACTTCAGGAAACTTTTCAAGTTGATTCGGTGAACTACTGATCAGGCAAGATCCAACAAATGGATTCCAAATTCTGTGAACAGGATTCGCGACGAAACCCAATGTTCAGCGCACCTTAATCTTGCTTGCTAATTGGTATTCAACAATCTTATCGACAGCGTCAATCACAAAAATTAAATCTTTTGTTCTCTCGTTCTAGCACTCCTTTGTCACAATGATCGTTGCGTAGGTGAGAGATGAAATCGGTCTAGTCGTTGAAGCTAATTAAGCGGTCTTCTATAGTCCAGTGGGTATCACTCAGCGCTAAATGCTTTTCATTGGTGAACAGTGACCAATCTGTATCTAATCTATGGCATTTCCCCTCTCTACTATCCATGATGACATTCTTCCCTGCGGCATGCTGTCTGATTTTTGTAAATGGTCACAAATCAGAATCCCTAAATTCTTCTTCCAATAGTCTTTGCAGTGTTTCGTAAGCGAGTGTTTCACGATGGGCAGCATCATTAGCATTACGACTATTTCGAAAAGACAGACTCGTGGTGATCTGCTGCTCTTTTCAAGCGGGATGTTCTTGATGAAATTGAACAGAGGTCAAACCACGTTAGATCTATAAGAGATTTCATTTGGCTGATTGCTTCGTTTTAACTTCCAGGCAAAAGTTGACGTAACTTTCAACTCATTTCATAGAATCTCCATTAACTGTTCAACTGAGTCTTCTCCAAAATTCTTAATTAAATTTACACTGTCTTAAACCGCTTATTAACTTTAGTCTAATCTTTTTATCTTATCTGTAGAATTCTTTCAACACTTCTTGCAGTGAGGGGAGGGGGCAGGACAACGGCGCAATGGGCAGTTTGCTTTACACTCTAGAGCTGCCGGAGTAAAATCCCGCGTGCGTCGTAAATCTCTTCTTATTAACTACTTATTCCCTTAAGCAATGAATTCACCTCTCTGTGCTTTGGCGCAACCATCCGAAAACGGATATCAGATCGCTGATCTGTGCACAAACAGGGATAACGTGGTGCTTCGATGTGGTCATGTCAAAGCGTGAAAGACATCTGACCGTGCTGTCGAATGCGTGCTCCTTGCGGCTAGTTCGTCTTGACCTGACTAAAAACCAGCAGAGTGTAAGCGTACATTTAATCCACGATTGACACACTGTCACTAGCAAATCTAAGATGATTTTGCTGCTATTAGTCGACCTTTGTTGTTCGTTCCAGAATATCCGACTGAGTATCATTTCGACGCACGTGATGAAAAGCTTTGAGTAAACTGTGTTGCCTTGCCTCACGAGGGTGTCGAGCAGCAAGACATTCATGGCGCATCAGCAATTCGCATTCTTCAACAAGCTGATGTATAACGTGATAAACACTTGTTCATAGTCGACAAAGGAACTAGCCCAAAAGTGAATCTGAACTACCTTAAGTGCTGCAGTAGTTGGTTCAAAGTAAAGCTGCTAATTCTATTATGCAAGGACCTTTCAAAACCATCCTGTTCTCTAGGCTGCTCTCACCCAGACTTTAATATACTTTCATACACCGGCACAGATCTTTGAAAAAGCAATCTAAGGTCAAAATTACATAAAACAACGTTCTCGCGGTGATGAAATGATGCAAATGTGATCCCTTGATTCAGAGAAGGATCGGCTTAAATCATAAGATATCTGGAAATGCAGATTTCAAGAGTTCGGAGAATCATTCGAAAGAACTTCATTCTTGGCGCTACTTTTAAGGGTACGTGTTCTTCCCATGAATATCAAGCAAATAAATAGATAAGAGTCACGGCATGGACATATTTGAAGACAGATGGCTTTATATTATTGTGTAATTTGTGCTCGCAATGTTTATGAGTAACAATTTTACGTTCAGGGCGTAAAAAATATGCTAAAATGATTGCATCGGCATTCTTGAAAGATTAAGAAAACCAGTGACTTTCAGTCTTTCTGTTTGGAAGCGAAAAGCCTGCTGGTGTGAAAAAAACAGTCTATTCAGTGATTAAAGTTAGTTTATTAGCTAGGAGGATGGACTCACAGTCAAGCTCTGACAGTCTCTCGTCTCTCTTTGAGATAAAAAATGAACTCAACCATGTCAAAGTGAAGTAAACGGCGATACTCATCATATCGAACACCTATCACGCAATACGCATGATTTCCACAATGCCCCATCCCGGCTAATCGCATTCAAATGTAAATTCCTGACACCTCAGGTGCCATATGAAAAAAAGACGCAATAAATAACTTCATCGGGGAAGTGTAAAGCAGCCAAATAACTCAGCGGTCATAAACTCTTGTTTTTCCTTCCATGTGAAAAAAAAAACAAAAATTTACATTTTCGACTGATCTGAAAATACTATTAAATAAGTACTTACCTGATGAATGTCTGGATGAAGACATTCACAAAGGAGCCCATCAGCAGCTGACAGTCGAAACGGTCCATTAGTCCGCCGTGGCCGGGAATAATCGCTCCAAAATCTTTGATTTTGAACGCTCGCTTAAAGCCGCTTGCGAAGAAACCGCCGAACGGGCCGATCAGCGACGCGAACAAGGACATGACCAACGTGTGGAACATAAATGGGTAAGTGCGAAGCGTCAATGGCAGTCCAAACTAAAGCGAAACATCAGGAAGTGATATATAAGTAAACACGGAAAACAATTGCAATGGCGCATACCACAGTCTATGCAAAGTCATCAAAAAATGGAAATATATTATGAAGTTTGAAAAAACAAAATTTAAGAGCGAAAAACTTTTCTGTTAAAGGGTTATTTCGATTTTTTCGCGCGATAACTGATATAATACGAAATAATAGCTAGCAAAGCAAAGTCTAACTATTTTCTA